GGGAAAGGGGGGGAGAAGGGGGAAGAAGAGGGGGAGAAGGGGGGGGAAGCAATTAGAAATGGATGATGTATGTTACCTCATCCTCATCCTGCGTCTCGACTTCGAGATCAGATAGCGGATAGCCAACACAAAGGAGCGCATAGCCCTGTTTCTCGGCCAGACAAAAATAGTCAAAGTGTACACAGTGAGAAATAGCCCAACACGCATAGCCAAGAATAGCCAAGCATAGCATAGCCAAGAATAACCAAGTGTAGATAGCCAAGAGTAGAGAAGCATACACAGTCAAAAATAGCCAAGAATAGCCAAGCATGCACGATCACAAATAGCCAAGAACAGTCAAGGATAAGCAGATAAAGAAAGGCAAGAATCGGCAAGCATACAGAGCCGAAAATAGCCAAGAATAGCTAAGAACAGTCAAGTATAGCCACCAATAGGCAATTCATAACCAAAAATGGCCAAGCCTAGCCGAATATAGCCAAACAAGCTTCGCCAAGAATAGCCAAGCGCATACATATTAATATGATAGTAGCTAGTCAAGTACCTTCCAAGCAGCCAACCATAGCCAAGCGAATGCCAAGCAAATGCCAAGCATAGCAAGAGAATAGCAAGAGAATAGCCAGGGAATAGCCAGGGAATAGCCAGGGAATAGACAAGAGAATAGCCAGGGAATAGCCAGGGAATAGACAGGAAATAGCCAGGGAATAGCCAGGGGATAGCCAGGGGATAGCCAGGGGATAGCCAGAAAGCTGTGAGCAGCAGGGAATAGCCAAGAATAGCCAAGCATGTCCAAGAATAGCAACGCATGGGGACAGCAATAGTCGAAAGCATAGCGAAGATAGCATTGAACAGCAAAGCATGGGGACAGGAATAGCCAAGCATACACAGCCAAGCAGGGTTACCTGACCGAACGTTTGGGGGCCCCCGGGCTGGCCCCCGAACGTTCGGGCGTTCGGGGTCCCGTTCGGGGGCCGAACACCTCCAGGTTCGGCCCCCGCCAAAAAACATTTTGGGGACTAAAAATAAGTTTTTTTTTCTGAATTTTTTTTTGTGAGTTCTCTATGATGTAACCTACACGCCAATAAATTTGAAGCCATTCTGCTAAGCCAAAAAAACATTAAAAATCATCAAAGATGGGGGTGTCAAAACGTGCTCGCCCACTCACTATTTTGTTTTTTTTCAACGTTTTGTTTTCACTTTATTTCGGGGCCTAAAAAATTTTATTATTTTTTGAATTTTTTTTAATGAGTTATAGATTATGTAAACTACATATCTGTAAATTTGAAGGGCATTTGTCAATGCCAAAAAATAATTAAAAATT